AAATGCGTTATGTCCCGTTTTTGATCATTTTTTTTTAAAATAAATATATGGATGGAAGATAAATTGAAAATATTACGTGTAATCTTCACGTATTTTCACGTGAGAAATGCTTTAAATGTGTTATTTCATTTTCCGTCATATACGTCATGAAACCTCTGTTGATGTGTTTCATGAAAGAGAAAACTATCAAAGTCGAGCGCTCTTTCGCTCATCCGTTTCACCGAAGCTTGAAAGGAAGACCAATGGAGTGACGGGAGAAAGAGAGACAAGCGATTGAACATTTGTTTGTGCACGCCGACTGAGGTTCTAGAATGCTGCGAAGCTGTTTGACATTAACAGAAAAAGAAAGCCAGCAGTCTCTTCGTCGCATCGATTTGGTCGATTGAAGCTGATATTGTGACGCCCTGATAACCATATACTTTACCTAGATCATTACCGCATTTCAAGCTTATTGCATATCGCATATTAGCTTATTGCGTGCTCTCAACTTAGTGTTCTAGATGCACTTCCACAGCTATTAATTGAGAGCTTTCGATGCCTGTACCATTTTTGCATTGGTATAATTGTGTGGCAAGTCCAACCCTTAGATCAAAGGGTGTTACCATCAATATTTTGTCGATTTAAACTTGGCGCATTTCTTTTAATCGAGCATTTAAGAAACCTGACCATCCCTCATTTTGTAGGTGTGTGCGTTCGTGCGTTGATTTTGACACTTGCTCTTCAGTTATCAAATGGCTCTTGCTTGTCGCAAGTTAAAAAAGAAATTTGATTTTTTTAAATAAAAAGTAAGAGATTGTATCCAAGACACGACCGTTGATTTAACGTAGGATTACGTGCTCGGTATCAATATTCGGCGACTGTGTTAGGGAAATCACTTTTTCCCATCACGGAATCGCCTTGTTTTCTGATGACTAAATTACGCATTTTCGTGCACGAAACGCACGGAATTTTTGGTATAATCAATAGATAATAAAAAAAACTAAAATTCACTAGAGAAATTTCTTGCTAAAACTTTCCAATCGCAAAATATTCGGAATCAATCAATATAAATTCGAGTTTTTTTTTGCTTTTTTTCTAGCGTCCTGGAGAAAATCCTACCTTAATTCGAAGTGTTTCTGATTAATTGGCAAGGTCATGTGGTATTCGGTCATTGCTAGAATTTTTATGTACCACTTCAATACTGTTACGCATTTTATCACACACGTTTGGTTGCTGGGTACATTATCAAATAGCTGTGGGGGTGATGTGACTGGCAGCAAGACGAGTGAACGTTCAATTAAAATTAACTCTTAAGCAACAATAATTTATGGTGGTCATGTTGTGATGGTTGAGTAATGCAGAGCTATTAGGGTGTTCAACACGGATGAGGCTGGCGAGCTTTACGGTGTTTGGAACGAGGGTGACGCGCTTGGCATAGATTGCCCACAGCGACTCACAATGAGCAACTGAATCCAATCAGTAGCGGTGCGGCTTCTTCCTTCTTCTTCGGTGAATCGAAGGCTCTTGAGAGCAGCCTTGATCGCTAGCAGCTTGCGGAGAGCTTTTCGTTGTGTACTGGAGAAAAATGTACAACGCCACGCGCCGCAAGCACTGCTGTTGCTGCTGCTAATGATGATCGGAGCACCACTCACCATACGCGGTGATTGAATGAACACCGTTTGGCGAGACCGGATGGAATTCGATTTGAAATCTGTGTTAGGGTAAGCGCTTTTCGCAGGCAATCGGTGATAATTTTTATTATCATAGGAACATTTGAACATTCGTGCAGAATTTAAATTCATGATCTCTGGATCAAAATCAGTCAGGTATTCAAAGTTCTGTAAATTGTCCTCGTGTTCAGATCTGATGATCCAATGGCCCAATTAGAAGTGGGACGATGGCCTCATCGACGATACATGTCAAGTCTAAGTATCTTCTTCTTCTTCTTCTTCTTCTTCTTCGCATTTCAAGCTTTTTGCTTATGGCATATTAGCTTATTGCGTGCTCTCAACTTAGTGTTCTAGATGCACTTCCACATTTATTGATTGAGAGCTTTCGATGCCTGCTACCATTTTTGCATTAGTATAATTGTGTGGCAAGTCCAATCATACTTCTATGCCCAGGGAGGAGAAATTTTCCGACCCGAAAAATTCCTAGACCGGACCGGGACTAGTCACCTCCAGCATGGTCTTGCTTTGTAGCTGCGCCTTTACCGACTGAGCTAAGGGAGGCCCCTAGTCCAAGCATCTGCGTAGAATTTATTTGCATCTTCTTGTATTCTAAAGAACGACCCAAATAACAATTTTAGCTGCAGATTAGCTTACTAGTATATAGGTACCAATTTGCTTAAGATGATCTGCAGTTAAAATTGTTTGTTGGGAGGATTGGCGGAATCCTTCCATTTAACGATTTAGGGACACAAATCTCACTATCCCGATGTCATGCAGATTTGAAGAAAATTAAACTTGGTTCCTTTTAGCATACTTTAACTATTTTTTTGTATTACTTCAGCGTGAAGATGCTAATTTCAAATAACAGACTAAAGTGGTAATTTTTATACGATAGATGAAGAGACGAAAGTATAGAGTTGATCGTTCCGTTAGATTAGGGCTGTGTGAAAATTGTTATATAGAGAGTAGAAAGCGAGCAAGGCCAACTTTTAGGAAGGTACAAATCAGTTTGATCATCTCTCTTTACCAAACTCCCCCGTTGGAGAGGGATGGTGAGGGGTATCCCCCCGCCACCACTGGCTCATCACATCGTCGGTACATGAGCAAGTCGGGGATACCCCTCACCAGCCCTCTCCAACGGGGGAGTTTGGTAAAGAGAGATGATCAAACCGATTTGTACCTTCCTAAAAGTTGTCCTTGCCCGCTTTCTACTCTCTATATACAATTTTCACACTGCCCTACTCTAACGGAACTATCAACTCTATACTTTCGTCTCTTCATCTATCCCTTAAGCATAGTTAAAACTGCAAGCTGAGAAAAACGCTGTTTAAGATTTTTTTCTCTACGGGCCCTTATGGATGGGACAACATAGTTTTGGTATTTTTCGCGACAATTTCTGAACAAAGTAGGAAACTTTTCGTGTGCAATGTAAAGTGCTGGTACTTGACAATCGGTTACAATATATAACTCATTTTCGCCAAAAATGCTAATAGGACTGTTATGCCGCACAGGGCAGTACATACCTATCTCAAATTAGGCGTATGGGCTCTATAAATAATGTGAGATCATAGATCATTTGGAGAGCCTGGAATATCTTCTAACCTAAATGATGAGAATAAACTCAATAAAACTGATTAGATCAGGTTCATGATGACCTTGAAGATCGTCCAGGATGATTTGTAGAATCTAGATCATCTGATATACCAAACATGGATCGTTAGTAATTTAAAAGCACATGTACTTCATGGATCTTCTTGGACATATTTCGCAACTACAGACATTGTCCCACTGGACTGATGCAAAATTTAATATTTTTGCTCCACAGTGCTTAAACGGTTCCGAATTGGGTTCTGCTTAGCCTCCCAAAGTTTGAACTACTTAAGTAAAAAACTGACTTGGCACAAACCATTTCACGTTTATATGGGAATTACTATGGGAAAACTTATGTTTTTGTTCATATCTATCTAACAATTCACCACATCACAATGCTTTCAAAAATGATAGCAGTGATTGTAGCAAATTTTCCCAGCTACAACTTGGTTGAAAACCACTTTTCAATCAAATGTAAGGAACAAAAGTTATTAATGATTCAAGTTACTGATGTCTTATCATTATGCTCATTCAACTGTTCAACAGGCAACATTGGTACCAGAAACACAAGAATAGAGCACAAATATCATGGCTCCTATGTCACACTGCAGAATACAGTGTTGCCTACCGAACAGATTGGTTGATTGATTGATTTATCTTTATTTAGGAGGCTTTCAGCCTGAGGCTGGTTCGCCTCCAAGCCTACAGAACAGCTGCTTGATCATGCCATAAGATTATCAATCTCTTAAAAAAAGTTTAGTTTTCCCATAGTAATTTCCATATAAACATCTAATAGTATGTGCCAAGTCAGTTTCTTACCAAATGGGTTTAAATTTTGGGAGGCTAATCAGAAACTTATTTGAAACCGTTTGAGCACTGTGGAGCGAAAATTTCAAATTTTGCATCAGTCTATTGACCCACTCGTGGTTGGTCTAATAGATTATTTGATCTGAACTCAAAGGAACAAGTTTAGTGGTGCTTTCTGATCTTAAATCCAAGATTTCTAGATCAATGGACATCAAGCACTTACTCATTTTTAGTTACTCTGCTTAATACGCAGAAATCTTCCAATGTATAGAAAATTATTAACATATATTAACTAATAAGAATTTGTAAAACTGTTTTCATTGTAAAAAAATAGGTTTATGATTAACCCTTTTTAGGCGATCGCCGTTTTTGGCCTGTTTTGTGCAATAATTTTCATAAATACGAACCAATTCAGTGCCAACATTTCAAAGGGGCGTAATTGCTTTTGTAAACAATGACTTTAGCCATCAATTTCTCGCGAATGAAATCTTACCTCTTCAAAATAACAATGCTAGCTGGTAGAGGAAACATTCCTCTACCTACTGGTGTCATTATTTTTCATGAGTGAGCTTTTATTCGCGAGAAATCGATGGCTAAAGCCATTGTTTACAAATGCAATTACGCTCCTTTGAAATGTTGGCACTGAATTATCATTCACTTTGCCTCCACTCCCTGTCTACCTAATACTTCTTCTAGGGTTGAATTAAAAATGCCGACATCCAGGCCAATATCGTAATATGTACACTCTTTTTGTTTTTTGGTTTAATTAGTGATTGAACTTGAGCTTGACTCACCGCCCGTAGTTGCTTCTCAATTAATGCACCTCAGAATGCAGTTCAATTAGGTAGATGAAATTGATGAATAAAAAACGACCAGCTAAATTGTCCACTACGAAATCCCAAACAATAATAAAACCCTTTAATCTAATCGAACCCCACCCCACTGTCGTTTCAGACTCTACCAGGGCTTGGAATGGATAGCTCAGAGGATCAAAAAGAAATGACACCTACCGGAGTAAACAGGGGTAAGTCGTGTTTTTCGTTTCCGTTTCACCGTTGTCCGGTCGGTCAGCAGAATGCTGATGCTGATGGCCACCCGGGGTGCAAACAACAAGTGAGAGTTTTAGTTGATAATCAAATTTAGTTCTTAAACCTGTATACACACTACGAAAATGAAAACTAGAAAAAATGCGAAAACAAACAAAAAAAAAAAGAAGTAAGAAATGACAGTAACAAGAGCTCACTGTTTGTTGGCGGGATCGAAAAATCGAATTTCGATCACCTAGCGCATTGTCGACTGCTGTATGATACATAAGATAACACTGATACTGAGTGTGTACGAGATTCTCTCCCCAGAGCTCGTATTCACCGCTACTCCTCTTCTCGTTTGTAAAAGACGTAAGAAAAAAGGTAAATCTACTAATCAATGGAGAAAATTACAGAAAATAACACAAAGTGAACCTGATGGGAAATATTTTAAGCTTTAGAACAGATAACGAGAGAGAATGAGAGGAGAACGTGAATCCCGGTTGTTCCCCTACTAGATTCTCCCGCAGACCTAGTGATAAGTGTTTTATTTCTGATTTATTATTTAAACCGATGTGAAGCAACAGAAAATCATTCAAAAGTAGAGAACAAACAAAGCTAAATGAAAGGAAAAAAGAGATATACTTACATTATTAGTTAATATAAAAAATGATCTAAAACAAAAGCAGGCGTGTCATTCTAATATCACACTTTCCTTTGGTTTGAAATTTGAGGCAAGCTTGTTGCGACTGTGAAATGTTTCCAAGGGTTGGTGAGTTTTTTTTTCGTTTGACATATAGATGTCGCCGTCGGAAGCACCAATGGAAAGCTTTTACAGTGCAGGGGTGATTTTACCAACCTGTTGAATATGGATTCGAATAAAAAAAATCATAAACGGAAACGTATTCCATGATTGCTCATAGATAAAAATTGCGAAATGTCAAATTAATAGCGATGGGAAGCGAACAAACGGCTGAAACCTTGCACTAATTTATAGTGCATCAGTGCAGCAGCGATAAGATATCACACGGATAGTTTCATTTCCACGAAATAACAAAAAAATAATGGAAACAACCGCAGCAAAACAGCAGCGGTGCAGTTGATAAGACTCCGCAGACCTGTGGCGGGGACGACTTTGCGTTATCAATGCACCAACTATCTGCCAATCTGCCTATCAATAAGCAATTTGTCCGCGTGTTTTGCGGTGTAGAAAAAGTGCATCAGAAAACTAATAATGCAATTTTTTATCGCGCAACTGCTGATAAGGATAAATACCTCACTATGCCAGGTGCTGGATTGAAAAAAAAGGGTTGTCTGCACCAGGCGTAGTGCAGAGTTTTTCTTCTCTGTTTTTTACGTATCGTATGTATGTGATATAAAAGATGCGTTAACATTGCATTGAATAACAACTTTACTGCACTGCTTCAGAAGCAGTAAATTGGCAAGTTCATTAATTTTATTTTGTTTGTCTAATTTACGACCCTGTTGTCGATCCTTGATACTGATATATTAACCGTAGCAGGAACCGTATATACAACACTCTGCAATTACGTTCGACCTTTAATATAATAATTCTTACAAGAAATCGCTTAAGTTTATCTTCGTAATTTTCATTAGAATTTCCAGGAACATCCTTATGATTTCACTTAGTAGAGGTAAGAGGGACATAGTGAACAGGTGGGGCATAGTGAGCATCCCGTGCACCAGCTTGGACTTCCGGCCGTTCGGAACAAATTTATTGGTGGTAGGATCAATATCATAATTATATTGAACCTACTACCAGTTGATTTGTTTCATACAGCTAGAGATCCAGGGCGAAACCTATAACCTTTAAGGTTGGATTCTCGACAAAACTGCCTTGGAATTATACTCAGAATTCCCTGTCCAACGATGAGGGGCTCGTTGATGATTTTCAAGTGATGCTATGATTTTTTTTTGCAATTTGTTAAAATTGTAGTTTTTCTCCAGTTTATTGATTTGAAAGGTTCAAGCGGGTTAATTTCACGGAGCCGTACATTGTAGTTTTATCATAATTATGATGTTAGCATTTCAATAAAACAGTAATTTTAAATTCGATTTTGTAATGTTATTGTTATTGTTATTGCTTAGTTCACACCCTTGTCAGCTGCTGCCTACAGATCTGCACTTAAGATAGGCATGAACCTACGACTTTCCTTTCACTAGCAGGCTTGCTGGTCCCACTAACGTCCGATAAAAAGAATAAAGAGAGAAATAGAGAATTTTGTTTGTTTCGTTGCAAAAAACAAAAAAACGAACAAAAAAAATACCTAGCTTGTTGTGCAACATCAGGTTTGTTCGCTTTTATTTCCGTTCCATGGGGGCTACGACCATCGCTGTTGTACTCAAATACCTGGGAACCTTCAGAGATGCACAGGAAAAACGTGAAAGACTTTCATTCTGGGCAGCTGCATGACCTGGGCCCAGATCAAATTCTTATCGGCTTGCTTGATTTACTTTTTGACGCCCCGACGCCTTAGTGTTTGCCTTTGCTGTGATGTTCTGGCGGATTTAATTCATAATCATAATCAACAAAATTCGTTTATACTTCTTCACTAGTTAATTGTAATTGGTTATTGGTAGTAATCAGTTGCGTGACTGAAACGAGACAAAAACAAATACCGACAGAAACAGGAATAGAAAATTTTGGTATCTCCTTTGCTTACTTACCTTACCAATCAGGCTAAGGCCTTGTTGTCCTCTACTGTCCGAAGAAGTCGTCTCCACTCTACTCGATCCATGGCCACAGTTCGCCAGCCTCGTAGTCTGCGAAGGGTCCGCAGGTCACCTTCTACTTGGTCGATCCGCCTTGCCCGCTGCGCGCCTCTTCTTCTTGTTCCTGTTGGGTCGCTTTCTAGAACCATTTTCACTGGGTCGTCGTGCGGCATTCTTACGACGTGCCCAGCCCACCGTAGTCGCCCAATTTTTGCAATGTGGACAATGGATGGTTCTCCCAGCAGCTGGTGCAATTCGTGGTTCATTCGCCTCCTCCACGTTCCGTCATCCATCTGCACTCCACCGTAGATGGTACGCAACACCTTCCGTTCGAAAACACCAAGGGCGCGTTGATCCTCCACGAGCATAGTCCAGGTCTCGTGGCCGTAAAGGACCACCGGTCTAATCAGCGTCTTGTAGACAGTCAACTTCGTGCGGCGGCGAATTTTATTCGACCGGAGCGTCCTCCGGAGTCCAAAGTAGGCACGATTCCCTGCCATAATGCGTCATTGAATTTCTCTGCTGGTATCATTTTCGGCGGTCACCAGTGAGCCCAAATACACGAACTCATCGACCACCTCGATTTCGTCACCGTCAATCTGAACTCGGGGTGGGAGGCTAACATTGTCTTCCCTAGAACCTCTTGCTTTCATGTATTTTGTCTTTGATGCGTTGATGGCAAGTCCAATCCGTCTAGCTTCAGCCTTCAGTCTGATGTACGTTTCCGCCATCATCTCAAAGTTCCGTGTCATAATGTCAATGTCATCGGCGAAACCAAGGAGCTGGATGGAATTCCTGAATATCGTGCCACTCGTGTCTATCCCAGCTCTTCTGATCACACCTTCTAACGGGATGTTGAACAGCAGACACGAAAGTCCATCACCCTGCCGTAACCCCCTTCGAGATTCAAAGGGACTCGAGAGTGTCCCCGATACTCGAACAACGCACATCACTCGATCCATCGTCAGACCAATCGCGTCAGTTTATCCGGAAATCCGTACTCGTGCATAATCTGCCATAGCTGATCTCGATCGATTGTGTCGTATGCGGATTTGAAATCGATTAACAAATGATGTGTGGGCACGTTGTATTCGCGGCATTTCTGCAGAACCTGCCGAATCGCGAAAATTTGGTCCGTGGTAGCGCGGGCACCCATGAATCCCGCCTGGTATTGCCCCACGAACTCTCTTGCATATGGTGGCATAGAATTTGGGAGAGTACCTTGTAGGCGGCGCTCAGCAGTGTGATCGCGCGGTAGTTGCAGCAATCCAACTTGTCGCCCTTTTTGTAGATTGGGCATACGACACCTTCCATCCACTCCTCCGGTAATATCTCCTCCTCCCAAATCTAGGCAATTACTCAGTGCAGCGCTCTAGCCAGTGCTTCACCACCGTATTTCAATAGCTCACTTGGTAGTTGATCTACACCAGTTGCTTTGTTGTTCTTCAGCCGACCGATCTCCTCCTCAACTTCTTGAAGATAAGGGGCCGGTAGTCTGTCGTCTTCTGCGCGTGCTCCAAGGTCTGTTGCCGTGCCACCTTCGTTTTCTGCTGCTTCACCGTTGAGGTGCTCGTCATAGTACTGCTTCCAGCTCTCAATCACCTCACACTCGTTCGTGAGAAGGTTACCGTCCAAGTCCTTGCACATATCGGCTTGCGGCACGTAGCCTTTGCGCGAACTATTTAGCTTCTCGTAGAACTTCCGTGTGTCGTTTACGCGGTACAGATTTTCCATCGCCTCGCGATCTCGGTCTTCCTGCTGACGCTTCTTCCTTCGGAAAACCGTGGGTAGTGCAACTTCCAGCTGCTGCGCGTAGTCCTGGGCAACTCCGGTGTCCCGTAGTTGCTCAATGTTGGGTCGCGGCGTTCGACTTCGACGTGTGTTATGCACCGTCGAGAGTTTTGAGCGCATGCATACTGCAACTAGGTACTGGTCTGAATCTATGTTCGCACTGCGGTACGTGCGGACGTTGATAATGTCGGAGAAGAATTTTCGTCGATTAGAACGTGATCGATTTGGTTTTCTGTGTGTTGGTCAGGTGATCTCCAGGTGGCTTTGTGGATATCCTTGCGGGGGAAAAAGGTACTTCGAACTACCATACCCCGGGAAGCTGCAAAGTTCACGCATCGTTGGCCGTTGTCGTTCGATACGGCATGCAGGCTGTTTGGCCCGATTGCCGGTCTATACATTGCCTCCCGTCCTACCTGAGCGTTCATGTCGCCGATGACGATTTTGACGTCCCGTTCCGAACAGCCGTCGTACACCTGCTCCAGCTGCGCATAGAACGCTTCTTTCTCGTCGTGCACGTTGATGATGCTGTAGTTGAAGAAACGGCCCTTAATCCTCAACTTGCACATCCTCGCGTTGATCGGCTGCCAACCAATCACGCGTTGGCGCATCTTACCCAGCACTACAAAGCTGGTTCCCAGCTCGTTGGTGGTGCCACAGCTCTGGTAGAAAGTAGCCGCTCGATGCCCGCTTTTCCATACCTTTTGTCCCGTCCAGCAAAGTTCCTGCAGTGCTACGACTTCGAAGTTGCGTGGTTGAAGTTCGTCATAGATTAACCTATCGCAACCCGGGAAGCCGAGCGATTTGCAGTTCCATGTTCCGAGTTTCCAATCGTAGTCCTTATTTCGTCGCGTAGGTCTGTGCCGATTGTTCCGATCCGTATTTCTTTCTTCGGTATTTGCAATTTTGTTTTTTTTTCCAGGGCGGCTTGTTGGGCCTGCC